GGCCACTCACGCCCAAGAGAATGGCCATTATAGTTATTCTCGTATTTTTCAATCATTTTCATGGCTACCTCCGAAGGATGTATCTTTGTCGTCCAATGTGATATCCCCGGGTACAAGAGATGTAAAGCAAGTTGAGAAGGCTTTTCTCTATTGGAGCCCGATCCGAACCAGGCTTTGGGCAGACCTTTAAGGTGGCACGCTCTATACCAGGAATCGAGGGGTTGCCTTTCACGAACGAGCGAAGGAGAAACTCGAAGATCTTAGTGTACGATAGGAAGAAATTCTTTGTGAGCCGATCTAGGAAATTTTAGCGACTGGCATGGAAGCAAAGGTATGAGCAACAGATCCACGCCTAGATCTAGAATCCGGTCTTTGAGGGCAAAAAACATCATCCTCCTGCATGTTCGTTTCGCCAGCACAAGGACAAAAGGATAGATCGCTAGACACCTAAAACTCAATTAAAAAAAAAAATAAAAAAAAAAAAAAATAAGACAGCGCAGTGAGCTGTCAGTGCCATTACCCTGTTCCTGTTTGCCTCCTAGCCCTTCCCACATGAAGGTGTTACGGGCTCGAATCAAAAAGTTGCAGGGCCTTCGCCCCCCTACCGACAGTATCGCACATTCGTAATTAACAAGCACAAAAAACGGATTAAAGGACAAAAAGAGGAACGTCGAGCCATTCCACAGTATATCGCTAAGAGTGTTGCAAAGCAGGGAGAGAAAAATGGCGAAGCTGCACAGATGTTGTATTGGACAGAGATATTGAAACTACTGAACTACTGATATTTTTAAGACACGCGCCTCCTTTACTACGCATCCACAACTTTCTCCTATAGAGCCATGCTTCAATGTAGAACCTGACTTTTATCCCTGACCCCGGATAGTATACGAACCCCCAGAATGTCCTGTAAGTCCAAGTCCAACAAACGCAACAAACACAGCACACCCAGCTCGCGAGAGAGAGAGAGAGAGAGAGAGAGAGAGAGAGTAGAGTCATCATGTACATAAGGCACTGGCAGACAGATAGACTACTAATCCATGTGCTCTGGTATAGGACACCCCTACCCCCTATTCTTGCATAAACAGTAATATAATCTCGTAGAATACCATTAACAAAGGAGGATGCAAAGCATTCACTGACGCATAGACTAGTCTATGATCGATTTCATTCTCAAATGAACAGATCATAGATATCGCCCTCGGACCTATTGCACTGACTAGTCTTGGGTCCTGCATGTATGCCAACCATAGAAGGTTTTCCCCTTCCCGCCCTTCCCGCATGAATTCTTCTATCTTGTTCCCCCCATTGCTGTGTCCACGCGTTAGTCTACCTGTCTCCTTTGCAGAACCAATGGCCAATCAGCCTGACTTATCCGTCCAATGCTGCCTCGCTGTGTTCCTGAAGTGCTCGATCCGAGCAACCGACCCGTGTGTTATTAAAAAAAGAGTCTTCTAGTCTCAAGTCCTGACATCTGGGACCAAAGAGGCACTAGCAGTATACACAGCGCATGAAAGACGATTTTATTCTATACTTTTTTCTATCATCATGATATAATCATACTCATAATCATATTAAACTGTAACAAAACGACGCTGTCGACCCGTCTCCGACTATCTCTCTCTCCTCAGAACGGAGCCTTACGAGGCTGGGGGTTGTATCCTCCATTCCCTATCGACCTAACACTGTTCTGCTGCTTTAGGGGCTGATACTGTTGAAGATTCAACCCAGACTCCTGATACTCCTCCTTTTGAGGATAATGTCGCGGCGGAATGTTATACCCTCCATCCTCCAACAGCCAGTCGTGCTTCTGCTGCTGATGTTCTTCGTGATACTGCTCAGGACCTTGGTACTCCTGATCTCCCTGGTAGTCCAACGGTAGTGGGTTGTAACCTCCACTTCCTAACAAGCCGCTGCCCTGCTGCTGTTCCTCGTGATACTGCTCAGGATCCTGGTACCCCTGATCCCCCTGGTAGTCCAACGGTAGTGGGTTGTAACCTCCACTTCCTAACAACCCGCTGCTCTGCTGCTGTTCCTCGTGATGCTGCTCAGGATCTTGGTACTCCTCCTTTTGTTGAGAATGTCGAGGTAGAGTGGTATACCCTCTATTTCCTAACAAGCCGCTGCTCTGCTGATGTTCCTCGTGATACTGCTCAGGATCCTGGTACCCCTGATCCCCCTGGTAGTCCAACGGTAGTGGGTTGTAACCTCCACTTCCTAACAAGCCGCTGCCCTGCTGCTGTTCCTCGTGATACTGCTCAGGATCCTGGTACCCCTGATCCCCCTGGTAGTCCAACGGTAGTGGGTTGTAACCTCCACTTCCTAACAAACCATTGCTCTGCTGCTGTTGCCGGTAATCCTCAGATTGCTGTGGCAGCAGATACTGCTCATGCTGTTCCTGGCGCCCATATTGCTGTTGCGGCTGACCACTGCCATCACCCCAAGCCGCATCTTGGTACTCTTGCATGTTCTGCATTCGCGCAGGGCTGCTGCTCTCATACCCCTCCTGAGCTGTATGGTCCTTGAGATGATAATCCGCCTGTCGTGGGTCCAACGGTCTGTCCTGGGTGCTCTGATTACTCTTTCCGCTGTCATTACTCACCACGGATCGACTCACATCCCTGCCCCTGCGGTATCCATACTCATCCAAGTCCTCTTCCTCTCGGTCCTCAGGATCGTAAAATTCCTGAGTCGTACGGTCCTTATTAACCCACACAATCGTCTCGCCATCCTTCGCCTTTGGTAGGGGGCCGTCGTATCCCTCCGGACGCGCTTCCATATTGGCCATGGGCATCGGACTCGCCACAGGCGATGCTATCGGCGCTGAAGCTACGGAAGGAGTTCGTTCTTCTGGTTCCATGACAACTGGCTCTGGTACCGGAGTAGCCTTGGGAACTGGGGGTGAAGGAGTAGATATCCTGGCAACCGGGGTCTCACGGAGAACTGGAGGTGGGGATGGAGGAGTAGGTATCCTACCAAAACGAGTCTCACGGGGAGATGAAGCGGCGCTAGCAATGGCGGCAGGCATCGCGGGCTCCTGGGCCTCCACTGGCTCCGCAAGTGGTTGATTGACGGGCTCCTCGATTTCTTCAATTCCAACCACATGGGGTTGTGCGGCTCTGACTGGCAGAGGTGACTTGAGCACAGGCGATTCAGGTTGTTCATCTACAACTGCCACGGGTGTGTCCACAACATGCGTCATGACCGGCTCCATAAGCACCGGCTCGGGCATCTCGGCCGCCGTTGGCGTGTTTGTCTCGATCACAGCAGACATTGGTGTCTCGATCATGCCTAGCTCGGGTGTCTCAACAGCAACGATCCTGCGCGCGTCTACCATATTCAACCTTGGTGTTTCAACAACTGACCTTTCGATGGGCACCGTCGCCGTTGGCTTCTCCATTAGAACAAAGCGCGTTTCAGCCGGCTCCTTTGGCTCTGGCTCTGGCTCTGGCTCTGGTTCCGGGACAGAACGTGTCTCGACTTGCTGCTCCGCCTCAGGTTCGGGCGTCTTGGTCAAGGCTGGTTCCGACACTGGAAGCAACCTAGTCTCCTCAGCCCTGGAATCATCTGGCTCTACGACATGAGTCCTGACACCCTCGATCGCAACCTCCGGGGTGGCTCCGACCACAGGCCTGACCTCCTCCGCCACCACTGATGGGGATTCAGGCGCAACCTTGCTCTTTTTCCTCGACAACATCGGCATACGTATCGACGGTAGCTTGGATCCCGATAACCTCGGCATACGGAACTTTGGCATCTTGGTCTTTTTAACCTTCGGCATCTTGGGAAGAGGAGGCATCTTGGGCATAGGCGGCATCCTAGGCATCGGCGGCATCTTTAGGTCTTTGCCCTGCACTGGATGCTTCGGGATCATCGGTCTCGGCGCACGTGAAACCTTAGCGGCCGCGAACGAAACGCTCTTGGGCTTGTGTGCGGGGATAACAGGGTGCCGTGCCGAAGATGGATCCGGTTTGATGATATCATCCTCGGTGGATCGCAGCACAGGCCGAATCGATAGGTTAGGCATGGGCATCTCAACGTCGTCCTCCGTCAGCGTCAAGATGTAGTGGACCTGGGGCACCGTAGGCTTATAGACATCGTCCTCAGTCAGTGCCAAGACGTGGCTAACCACAGGAATAGTGGGCTTCTCGACATCGTCTTCTGTCATCGTCAACCTTTGACGGACGACCGGAACCCTGGGATAGGGGACATCTTTATCGCTCACCCTCAGCGTGGGTTTGTTAGTCATGGTTGGTTGACGCTCCTTGTAGGCCGCGGCCGCGGATACAACACCAGTAGCCGCGTTGGTGACGGCTGCAGCTGTACCCGCAGTGGCGCGTGAGACCCTGGCCTTGAGCTTGGACGGCTTCTTTTCCTTCTTGCCTTTGCCTTTGATATCCTCGTCATCATAGTCGTCATTAGCGGCATGCTCAGTGTTGACCTCAGGGATGGGCTCCACCCCGTCAACGTGATCAGCGGGAGCCACAGCAGTATCGGTCTCGTCCAATGTTAAAGGCGCAACTTCCGGTGTCTCCATGATTTCGTCTTCGTCTTCATCTTCGCCTTCGTTCTCCTCCACGATCATGCGCTTCTTCTTCTTACTATCGTGATTAACAACCCCCTTGCCTTTGGCAGCGGTCGCAGCGGCTCCAACTGCAACAGCGTCGGCGCCAGCGCTGAAGTCAGCGGCCGTACTGGCGTCCAGGTCGTGCCCGGACTGGGTGCTTGTTTCTTTGTCTAACCTATCGACACCCTTCAAGTCCGGAGTACTCGGAGGAGTGGCCATTGAAGAGTACATGGACCCATCGTCTGTAGAATATGTGCTTGTTGCTTTGTCTGTGACCAAGATGCTTGCATCGGTGGGGACAGTTGATGCCGGTTCGGCCTTCTTCGCAGAAATGGCGTGCAAATCATTCTCGTTTTTGAAGTTCGTGTCAATAGTGTCTCCAACAGATGCCTCATCTAAATAATAATAATAAAAGTCAGTTGATATTTATTCCAATCTGGTATTCTTGCTCTGAGTAGGAACAGATGCTGACAAGTCCCTACCATCATCTGAAGTTCTTAAAACCGCAGCGATCTGGGCAGCACTCAAAGCACCACCAGCGGCAACGTCCATGCCCTTGCTCTCGTTTTTGCTGCCCATCATTGGCATCATGCTACCCGGTACTTCTACGGCCCTGGTTGTCATAATAGGGTACGCATCCTGATAGGCATACATATCCTTCTCGCCCAACTGGACCTCTTCCACAATGCCAGCAGGATGGTCCAGATAGGCTGGGTCGTCATATTCATCTTCCTCGCCGCGTAGATATGAGGCCTTCTCCTCAGGGTACAGCGACAGATCAGCTTTCGGTCGCTCGAACATAGCTTCAGTCGTGCGTTGCTCTGGCCTGTCCGCTCTAATACCACTGTTCCCGCCATGGTACGGAGTAATAGTAGCAGCCGCTGATGTTGGAACCGACGCGTCCCTCGAAGACCGGGACGAAGATTCAGCATAAGCAGTAGTAAGATCCACCGAGGAATCAACGGTGGGCTCCGCATCCATGTCCTGATCCTCGTGCTTGTTGCCCATCGTTGGCAACATGCTACTCAGCGCCCCTATGACCCTGGTCGTCATTCTGGGGTGCGCGTCATGATGGGCATCCCTACCCTTATCGTCCAGTTGAATCTCTTCAGTGGCACCGATAGGACGATCTAGTTGAGATGGGTCCTTGTACTCATCTCCCTCGAACGTAGATGCAGTCGAGTGGTACTCTGGCTTGTACGCTGTTGGAACCTCTGCAGCACCAGCTACCGCCGTATCCATGGAAGGCCGAGACATAGAATCATTTCCAAGGGACGCGAGAACAGCCCCGGCATCCGCGCTCTTGCCATCGTGCTTGCTACCCACCGTAGGTAGCATACTACTCAGCGCTCCTATGACTCTGGTCGTCATACTAGGGTGTGCATCGTGATGGGTATGCATATCCTTCTCATCCAGCTGGATCTCCTCTACAACGCCAACAGTATGATCCGGATGGGCTGGGTTATCGTATTCATCTTCATCGCCGCGCGGATATGAGGCCTTCTCCTCGGGATACAAAGGATGGCCGGCCTTCGATCGCTCGGACGTAGTGTCCAACGAGTGAGGCTCTGGATGGTACACGTTAAGGTCGCCTTCCTTGCCATGCTGAGCAGCGGCACTGGGAGTCGTTCCTGTTGGGATAGTCACGTCTTTGGAAGGCTCAGGCCAAGAGCCTATATAGGCAATGGTAGTATCCGCCGAGGGCTCAATGGCGGTCTCTGCATCCTTGTCCCTGTCTTCATGCTTGCTACCCACCGTAGGCAGCATACTACTCAGCGCTCCTATGACTCTGGTCGTCATACTAGGGTGTGCATCGTGATGGGCATGCATATCCTTCTCGTTCAGTTGGATCTCTTTCACAACGCCAACAGAATGATCTGGATGGGCCGGGTTATCGTGTTCATCTTCTTCGCCGCGGGGGTAGGAGGCATTCTCCTCAGAATACAGCGACAGATCAGTTTTCGGTCGCCAGAGCGTAGCTTCAGTCGCGTGTTGCTCTGACTGGTAAACGTTACGACCGCCTTCGGTGTCATGACCAGGAGCAATAGCAACATCTATTCCCGTTGGGATAGCCGCTGCCGTTGGAATAGCCGTGTCCCTGGAATAATGAGGCCAAGAGCCTGTATGGTCAGTAGTAGGGCCCGCTGAGGACTCAGTAATGGTCTCTACATCCTTGTTCCTGTCCTCATGCTTGCTGCCCATCGTAGGCAGCATGCTACTCAGCGCTCCCGCAACCCTAGTCGTCATACTGGGGTGTGCATCGTGATGGACGTGCATATCCTTCTCGTTCAGCTGGACCTCTTCCACAGCGCCAATAACATGGTACGGACGAGTCGGGTTATCACGCTGACTTCTTTCGCCGCGTGGATAGGAATCTTCCTCCTCAGGGTACAAAGAAAGAACAGCCTTCGGTCTCTTGAGCATAGCGGCTGTCGAGTGATGCTCTTGCGAGACATGCCTCGAGTTTACTGCGCTGCTAGAAGCAATGGCCTCTCCCCTATCCTTGTAGCCGTCATGGCGCTGATGGGAGACAGCGGCAGCGGCAGCGGCGACAGGCGATGTATCTGTGGATGCAGGCGTGGATTCTGGCGAAGCAATGCTACTCTTGTAGTCATCATGGCGCTGATGAGAGACAGCAGCAGCGGCGGCGGCGACAGGAGACTCATCCGGAACCTCGGTAGATATAGGGCGCGCAGCGCCGTAGCTCGGCTTTCCTTGGGCGGCCATAGGAGCTGCTGTAGTGGCTTGCGAAGGTGTGGAGGCTTGAGTCCTAGCTGCTGGTGGCGCAGGTGGAGGCGGTGGCAGATGGGGCCGGCGCATGTTGGAAGGTAGGTAGTCAGGCAGGATTTTTGGTAAAGAGGGCCTCTTGTTGGTCCTAGAGTACGTCAGATAATGGCCTCTGGGCTTGCTCGTCTCATGATAGGTCTCCTGTACATGAACTGGGCGATCTTGGCTAGGAGAAAACGAGCGGGGCGAATGTGCACCGCTCGATCGTCTAGGCTGAGTTTGCGCCCGGGCAATAGTGGGACTGGCCGCCTGGTGCATGGAAGGCCCCCTAGAGGATCTAGAGTGACTCAAGTAATGACCACTGGGCTTGTTTGGTGCATGATAGGTCTCCTGCACATGAATTGGACGGTCTTGGCTAGGAGAAAACGAGTGGAACGGATGTGCACTGCTCGACCCTGTGTGCTGGGCCTGCACACTGGCGATAACAGGAGAGGCTGGAACACCTGCAGCTGACAGAGCTGGAGACGCAATGGGTGTCTGGGCAGCTCTCACGGCCTTCTTGTGCTCTTTGTATCCGAACCCAAACCCCAACGGCGTGGGGCTGTTGGGTGCCTTCTCCTTAGCCCGGATTTCGAAGCCACACCACGTCTTTCTCTTCGTAGGAGCGGTCGCCGAGCGCGTCAAGGCGCCAGGGCTTGAGGAAACACTGGCTGATGAAGTGCTACCTGACCCATAATACGGTTGATGGATAGTCGCGGTTTGCATAAGACCATGGTGTCCTTGATTGGCACCACTGCGGGGCTCTGTGTGCTGAGGAGGAAAACCGCGGAAGGGTTCATGGATGGCCTCGGTGGCCGTGTGTCCATGGTACCCGGTAGTCGATGTATGGTGATTCGACGCCGAGGGAGCAGAATACATTCGGGACAGTCCAGTGCTGTGCTCAGGGGCGTCCCTGCTTGAAGGGACTATAGCGCTATCTTGAACTAGCGGGTCATGCGTGGGGCCGGTCGGAGCGCGGTGTGACGTGGACGACAACGACGACAGAAATGAAGGACCGGCGTTGGAAGCCCCTGGCGAGGGAAGCTGGGTGTCTTGGGGAGCATGGTCTTGATTTTGCACGGCAGAGAGATTATGATACGCCGCGGTAGCATCAGCTTGCTGCTGACCTGGTTCAGACGCGGTTTCGTGTTCTATAGCGCCTCGAGGAGCCTGGGCAGCCGCACCGATTCCAACAGTATCGTCTCCAGCAACGTCGACCGGGGCGGCGGGTGTACCGTTAATGCCTTTCTGGATGCCTGTATTATTGCTAGTCTTGTTGGTTGGATTCTCATAATGCTCGACAGGTTCGCTAGACTGCTCGCGACCGACATCTTCCTTCTCTTGATGCTTGGCTCCGATACCGGAAGAATCCTTAGTTTGATTGGACGTCGCGGCATTGTAGTGAGTCGCGGTGTGGGCAGAATGGACCTGTTGGCCAAGCCCGCCGGATGGCGGAGTGGTGGTAGCTGAGGACGTCGCGGCAGCTTCTGATTCGGCAGCTTTCTTCTTCTTGGGGGATGAAGGCGATACAGCAGCGGCAGGAATGGTAGGCTGCTCAACTGGATTGCTGGTGCTTTGATTTACATCCCCCTCTGGAACCAATGGAGTCTTTCCGGTCGTCTGAACAGCAGGGATTGTGGCGGCTTCAGCGTCAGAGGAAAGTGGAAACTTGGAATCCAAAGCATGAGTTTGATCTCCGTGGGCCGTGAAATGATCGCCGCGCTCAGTTTGGTTGCGCGCATCGTGAGACTTACGGTGACGACCACTTCTATGGCTTCTGAAAAATGAAGCGCTCAGACCATTGTAAAGGTTTGAGGGTCTAGTTTAAAAAAAAAAAAAAAGAAGGGCATGGTCATGTTTTAGATGACGGCGATATTAAGAAGGCCACGTTGTTTACCTTCAATACTTTTAACATACCTCATCTCTCCAATGTAACGATCGCTATCCATGGTAGGACTGGGTCCAGAGGGACCACTGCTGCGCCTGAGCAATAAGTAAAGCGACACACATACGGGCAAACGGTTAGTTCAATTGGATTTGTCGCATATCCTTCAGCATAGATCCATATAAAACAAGCACATACTGTTGCTTGGTGTTTCCTTGTGTACTCAAGGACTGGGGGCCATTGTCCTTATTCTGCGTACCAGCATCGGAAGCTGCAGAGAAAATTGATGGAAGGGCGGGGTTAATATGAGGGGGATGCTGCGTTTCATGAACCTTCCTTGTCCATTACCCAAGACAAATAACCTACGCAATGGAATGTCTTTGGGATGCAACCCATCAAACCCTGCTCCAGCGAGCGCGAGTGAGTGCTGGTCCGCAGTGGGCTTCATGGAACCCGTTTCGCCTCCGTGGCTCATGATAAATTACTATTATGCGAGTGGTGTGCTTGATGGTTTCTTGATCGGCGTGCAATGCTCAAGCTCTCTCTGTACAGTATATTAGGTGGAGGGAATGTGGGCAGTAAGATGTATACAAGAATGTGAGCGAAGGACGCGGCAGAAGCGTGGATGGAAACCAATAAAGAGGAGGAGATACGGGTAGTGAAAATAGCAAAAGGCGAGCTGGGGAGAAGGATGAACGCTATCGCCCCGATACCGAAAAAAAAAAAGAAAGAAAAAAATGTTTCTGCGTCAGTACGCCAAAGACATATATGAAACCGTCGTCTGCGAATCGGACGCGTATCTTTTTTTGCCACCAATTGTCGTTGTAGCACGAGAGCCCACGGCTGTCCTCTGACCACCTTGTGCTCGCCGCGTCCTTTTTGGACTTTGAATGAGGGGAGGATGTCCTCATCACCACACGCCCCATTCCAAAGCCCCATCCAGGGTCCCATCCAGACCCCGTCTGCGCCCCTCTGCCTGGTGTCACTTTTGGCATCTTGGTCTGGCCGGGTGTTTTTAGTCCAAAGACGAGGGGCGAGGACACGCTCCAAGGAAGAACAAGAAGCACCAGAAGAACAGGCGTTTTTTGGTGGCAACGGCCGCAGGAGCCACACGTGTGCTGGGAGGACGAATGCGCCCCTTTCACCCTGGCCCTGGCCCTGCGTACCCTGACCCTCTCTCCCTCTGCCCACACGTTCATGTCTTGATTTGCACCCCTCCGCCCTTTCTTCTTCTTCCTCGCCTTGCCCCGCCTCGCCCCGTCTGTACTCTGTCTATCTATCTATCTGTCTATCTGTCTAATTACCACCCACACCCACACCCACACCCACCCCTCCGCCCCTGCTGACAAGCCCTCCTGCCCCTCCTCGAACCCTCCCCGGCTACCACTCGACTCTCAAGTCCCGATGGGCGCCTGTTTCTCAGGATCGATCCCCCACCACACCTTCAACAAGGGCCCTGCTCATCAACGGTCCGCCCTTCGATCCCACTCTGTCTCGGCCTCCTCTCCCTCTACAGCTGCACCGCCCCCGCCCCTCGATGGCTCCGACCTCACCAACCGGCTCCCGCCAGAGCTCTGGAACTTAATCCTCTCATTCCTCTATCCCTCCCAGCTCACAAGGGTCGCGCGTGTCAACCGCAGACTGTACCACCTCATCAACAACCTCGGCCTCTGGACAACCATCCACACCAAAACCTTTCCTCAAGAACCGCTGCTGCTGCTCCCTAATGTTCCGCCCTCGACATGCTATACCCTCTTCATCTGCGCCAGCAGTCTTCTAATCTGTGAACAATGCTTCCATCACTGTAAGGACGCCCAGAATTATTTCTATACCCTGGAGAGATGGTTGCGCGGCGGCTCGTTCTTCATACCCTTGCCTGTCTGGCTTCCCTGGGCGAACGCATCCATCCGTCTGTGTTTCAACTGCCGGAAAAGTCATTTCGAACAACATCCAGAGCCGATCCCAAATTCCTTCAAGGGCAAACGACTGTGTTTGACGATGGTCCGGGAGCGGTTGTATTTGAGCGACGAGGAAATTATTCAGGTCAAGAGATTTGGATGCGGTCCTGGCGGATACAAGTTCTGTGCTGAGGATGCGTTGATGACCGCAAGGACGATCTATGGTGGGGATATCGGGATCGCTACGGTTGAAAAGCCGTTTCCGGAGCTGCTGGGGCGGTCAGAGAACAGGACATATGGGTACCACAAGCGACGAAAGATAATGGAAGCTGGTGGGACATGGCAACACATTGCTGAGTGAAATGGGGGGGGGAGAATGATATTTTTGTTACACATCTCTCCTCCGCAATGAAAAAAAAGGGGGGAGGGAGTATGGGGGGGGGACGCATGAATAAAAACGACTTTTTCTTTGGTAGATTGTGCATTTCGCAACGGCCTCTGGCTGGTTTTTGTGAGTGTCGGTGTCAGTCTGTTGTCGTCTCGAACCCCCTCCCCGCCGCCTATGCCGAAACTTCGCCACTATCAACCAAATTGTCTCCAGAGCGAAGGATGATAAGCAGCCATTTATTTATCTATCTGCCCACTGGACAAAAGCCAAAGGAAACAGATGGGTCGCACAGCAAACAAAAATAAACCCTGTCGGCTGTTTAAATTGCTCTCTCTCTCACCGCGTCCCCACCACCGGGGAAATCCATTTCAGCCAACAAAACTCGGTCTTAGTCCAACAGCCCTGCTGCCTTGCGCGCCTTGTAGTCCTGACACCTAAACCATTCACCTCCGGCCTCCAGAGTGCGTCGTCGCAGGTTATACATGTACACCCTGTGGTGCACCTTCGCCATCGGCCTGCAGAGCGATCTCGGCACAGCCTGTCTGCCTACATCGCCTCCAAACACGACCCTCGCCGTCTTCAGCGCCTCCGCCTCCGAGTAGGTCACAGGCATGCACATGCTTCGCTCGCCATGGCTTCGGACCTTGATAGCCTTAATCTCGCTCTTGCCCAAATGATACTGCGCTTTGATCTCTCGTCTCGTCAGAAACTTTGTGGTGAGCTCTTGTGGAATCGCCTCTGGGTGCTTCTCATAGTGCATCACCCGACAGTGCTTACACAGCCGAACGGTCCAAAGCTCGCCACCTTCGCCCCTTTCTCTTTCGTTCCCACTCCCACCTTCGCCATCGCCATTGGATAGCACCACCGGCAGGGGCATGAGAGCAAGTCTTCCTCGAATACGTCTCCCGTCGCATCGTCGGAAACATCCCTCACAGACCTGAAAGCTGATCGCACACATGTACAGCATGTAACTGCGTGACTCTGGAAGTCCTGGAAGAAGCTCCATGGGCTCCGTCTGCCTTGCTAGCTTCTCGGCCTTCCCGCTCAAGCGCCTGTACCACTTGGACCACGTCTCCAGCCCCGCCACTATCTCATACGCTGTTCTGTTGACCAGAGAGAGCTGCGCCAGCTGTGATGGGTACAGATACGAGCAGATGTGGGCCCAAACTTGCACAGGGATTTTTAGTTCCTGCTGACAAGGGCGTGCTTGGTTGCTGTGAGGATTCCGATTCTGATTCGAGGCACACATCACCCAGGTGGGCGAAGGCGGTGTTCCTGACAGCAACGAGTCCATCGACCCTGGCGTGGATGGCTCTGCACTCCAATCCCATGAGTCGTCCACAGACTCAAATCCGACCTCTTCAAATGACTCGCCGCTGAAGGACTCGACCTCCTCCTCGTCTGTTGCCGGACCCTCTTCATTCGCAAGCCGAAGTCGAGAGATGCAGAGACGGAGCTGTTCTGCGGTTAACAATCTTCCGCCCTCCTCCTTCTCTTCCTCCTCTTCCTCCTCTTCCTCGTCTTCCTCATCATCATCATCGTCGTCATCATCATCAGTAAGAGCGAGTCGCGAGAGACGGACATGCATTGGTTCTTCAGCCCTGCGCTCTGCTCTGCTTCTGGTGACAAGCGGACTGTCTTGGGGTTCGGCTGATTGAGCGTTACCCATGGTATCAACGGGAATATGTGTGGCAAGTAAGCGTCGTATGAACATTGGTTGGTGTGATGTTGTAGAAGAAAGCAAAGGCAAGAAGTGACAGCTGCAAAGGGCTCAATGGAAAGGAAGAGTGAAAGCAGCAAAGGGGAGGCAAAGGAAGCAAGGAAATATGGAGGCGGAGGAAGCAAAGGAAGGAAATATGGAGGCGGGAGGGGGCACTCCCGTGCCTCTTTTTGTACATTGTGGTCAATCAGTGATGTGAAATGATCCGTCTTGTAATCAACCAGCGCCAAAAAGCAGAACTTAGTAGAATCCATGGCCCCTTATTTGTAAAAAAAACAAAGGTGCATTTTAAGATTTTTAGCATTGACATCTATCTCTACGGCCTTAATCTCATGGTTGTCGGATCACCAGCTCGGAGAGACTCTCGGTCCCCTCGATCGACAAGTTCTTCTCGTTTGCAAGATGCAGCAGACAAATGAAGCAGAACGGCACAGAGATATCCTTCAGCTTTTGTTCAGGATACACCTTGTTGAGTCCGCCAATGATCTCTGTGAACTTTTGTTCCTTCTTCACATACTCCTCCCCCTCCTCTTCCTCCGCCCCACTCTCTACATTGACTTGCTCCCCGTCCTCGCCATCCTCCAGGTTAGCCCGCTTCTTGCTCCTTGACCGATCCGGGTCATCTCCTGCTGCTTGACGCTTCAACGACTGCTGCGTCATCTCCTTCCAGATGTTATCCTTCAGCTTCTTAACGTCCACCTTCTTGGCCGTCTTGGAGAAGCTGATAAACGTGGCCTTTACACGCTTTGGTTGCGAGACTAGCTGGCTTGCATAATCATTTCCGTCGCCATCAAGACCGAGACCAAGGCCACTAAGCGACCCAATACCGATATTGTCACCTCCTACATTAGCAAAGAAGCCCTGCTCTTGATCGCCGTAGTCATCCTCATCATCTTCAATGTAGTCGTTATAGATCTGTGTCTGGTCCAGTTGGTCAGTCAAGGCTACAACATCTCCCTCATCCACGTTGTTCGTATGTGATGCCCAGAATCCTTCATCAGGAAACGTAAGGTTGACTAGAGAAAGCAAGCATATGAATGTATCCTGTGATGAGTAGGATGCTCAAAGATTTTCATCACACATTTTGGGACACTGACTTACATGGTGCGTCCTCTGTTCCCTGCTGGAGATATCCGGGTTGATGCCGTCTGTTCTTGGATTTGATCTATTGAGCGCACATACACATTAGCCTCATAATCCCATACGAAAGCGGCAGGTAGTATCATAGCTCGATACGCAAGCCCCCACTTACGATGAAGGACGGTTTCATGAACATGCGCAGGAGCTGCTTGGATGAAAAGTGGACATCATCTGGAAGAAGGTGTTTCGATTTCCTGTTCTCTGCCTCGTTTGCGGCTGTGAACAACAATGATGATTTTTCAGCGGGCGCAAAGAGCTCATCCTCATCGATTTCGGCAACATCTAGGAAATTAATAACTAAGGGGACCTTTCCTGACCGCTTCTTAGGACCTCCAGTAGCTTCCTCCTCTGCAGGCGTAGCTGCATCGGCAGTGACAGCGACAGCAGGCACAGTTTTCTCTGAATAAAATTGAAACAACGGGAGGTATTAGCAATGAATACAACTTTAATGCACCATTCACCATAACGAGTTCTTGAGTGTCCTGTAGCCTCACCCTTAGGAATGCGTCTTAGTTTCCAATGCTCAGGACCTGCCCAATTGCGCAGGAGAGCCGAGTCAAAGTATGAGTACATGTCCGGATGTCCCTTGACCAGAATTTCTTCAGAGTCCACCACAAAGTTGTCGACACCGGGCGCAACCCGCTGCATTGCGATCTGCTCATCTAAGTCTCCGAATGCATCCGCAATTTGCTTATCCTCCTGCTCCTCCTTGACTCCTTCGACCAACATGGCATTATCCTGACTATCCTGCCCATCGTAGAGGTCTGGTTGTCCAAAATCGTTGTCGTCATCGTAGTCACCAAAATCGTTTGCTTGACTGAGTGTCTCGTGGTGATCATCGTTATCATTGTGTGTATCGTCCTCGTCCTCGTCACCATGAAAGCGCTTCAAGAACGAAAAGTCCATTTCTGATGTTCCAGTCAACTGAAAGTCCTTCAGCGACGGGCAAATATCTTTGTCAAAAATTTGATTCAACGAGGACAAAAACTTGGCTATAAATCATCGACAAAAAAAAAAAAAAAAAACCTCGCTGAATGTTAGATACAACGATCCAGACAAGATGTAAGCTGACAATTTTCTGCATACCCCCGACTTACATCGAAGTTTCTGGATGTCAATCATGGCTGCCTCGACTTCCTTCTTTCTCTTGGATTTTTGGGGCTTTTCCTCCTCGGCCTCTGGTTCCTCAGTGGCGAGCTCCTCCTCTTCTTCTTCCTCTTCCTCGTCATCGTCATCGTCGCCTTCGTCGCGAGCATCGCTGGCGTCGAAAATAATTTTTCCCTCTGCGTCGACATTGAGATGGTTCAATAAAAGTCCTCGTGCACCGCCCTCATCAAAGTCAGCAGAGGTCTTTTTGAAAAGAGGGTCGACTGAAAATTCGAGATTGAATTTTTCAAGCGAGAGTGCACTAAAGTCTTTTGCAAGAGTGTTGCCACTGCGGGATGAATGCTAAAAATTGACAAGAACTTTGGTTAGATACGGAATCATTTTGACCGCATCGTATATTACGTTTTTCCGCATTTATGACCCCTCCGCAACTCGCCTTCTTCTTGATCGGCTTGTCGTTTTCCTCGTCATCGTCGTCTTGATCTCCAGCGCTGCCTCCCTCGGGCGCCTCTGTGATACAATGTGCCGGTCAGCACCGGAATTCATGCAATCCAAAGCTGATCTGAAAGAATGCTACATTGTTGCAAGGATATACATACTTGAACTCGTAGCAAGACCGCCGAGCAGCTTTGTTGTTTCTGTGGCCACAGAATCTACGCGAGAGGTGTAAATCTTGACGCACCCGTCCAATGTGCATGATGCTATATACATTTGTCCAGCAATCGTGTATTGGAGCTTGTGGTTAGATATCTTTGTGTGTATCCTTAATCCCTTGAAGACTCATCTCTGCATGAAAGACACTGAATCAAAATGTACCCTTTTGAAAGTTAATAGAGTCACCCTCTCGCAAAAGCGACATCTCATGGAAATAGTCGATGAGCGCAAAGTTCCAGCTGTTGTTCGCATTGATTTTCTAAAGACGAACGACAACATTCAGTTAGCATACTCAATGTAAACGACTTGAGGCATGCATCCAAAAAAAAAAAAAAAAAAAAAAAAAAAAAAAAAAAGAGGAGGGGAGGGGTTGAACAAAAACATACATTGTCAGTCGCCAGTTTCAGCCATTGTTCAAAACTGTCTGCGGAAACTTTCAGGAGCGATGGTAGGGGCGTTTGATGTGCGTCTACGACTCCCAGAAGACTACTTGGTCCACTAGGTCGCAACTTGCTGCTGGGGCTGGCGAGGTTGCTGCTGTTATTTGAACTTCTCCGCCTGTCTCCTTCGTCATTTCCAGGCGATGCGTATGACGAGAGCAAAGAACGCCGACGTGCTGCACGTTCGTCAAGCAAGGACCTCCGGCGCAGAGACTTTTCTTTTGCATCATCATTCAGCTCGGTCGTGCCTCCGAGGGGAACTTCAATGTCCTGGAATCGTGAAAACGAAGTTGTTTGAGGCGATACCACCACACTGTTGCTTCCACTAGCGCCTCCGTTGTGACCGTGCATGTTTTCCAGACTTCTCCTTTGAGACGGCGACAGTTGCCCAAGCATTATGGGGGCAGTGGGCATGGCGGACATGGGCGAGAAGGATTGTTTTTGATTACAGGCACATTTTGAAGCGCGTGTGTACTTGACCGCGAAGGGTCCTACACGCACGTGATTTGGCTTATTTTTTTTTAGTCCCCCTTCATTTCTGTGAGACATCTTAGGGTCCTCCGACAGCTTATGAAAAAAACAAGGATTTTATTTTATTACCTTCCTCAGTTCTAAAGACGAAGCGCGCATTCATGAACGCTTCCAGGTATTAAGGGAGGGTGCGCGAGAGTTTGGTGTAACCAGAAGAAGCAGAAGCGCACTTTATGAACTGAAGGTGTTTACAAACCGCGCTTTTGGAAGTGCCTTTACTCTACATGTGGATTCCTATTATACCATAGGCATGGGCATGAAGCGAACATTATTATCCTCTTCCTTCCTGTCCCATACCCACACTTCACTTTGACCTGACTGAACATCATGAACGTCTTGCGCTATCGCAATTTTCCTCGTCATCCAAAAACTCTGCCTGAACAAGGCCAAGAAGCAGCAGGGGGGATTGCACAGTCGAACTTCTATTTCGCAGCTTAAGTTGGAGGAGCAGTCATGTATTCAGTCCAATTGAAAAATATAATAATATAGAAGTTTGAGGTGGTGTGCTTCATACTTGATCACTGTCGTTTTTAATTGAACTGAATAATTGGGGGGTACGTACTTACCCGGGTTACAGTGTGATAACTCTATTTCGGGAAATCATATCCACGTTCATGAGCAAGCTTTGCAGCTGAAACCTTATTGTACTAATTAGGCTTAGAGCGTAATGGTATCCTCAAACAAGTATGCCATCCAAAAAATCAGGTCGCCAGAAGCCCAGAAAGACATTTTTGATTATAGCTGCCATGACATCCGCGACATCATAACTCTTCACAAAATCACAATCAACATGCTACCAAAAGCGAGCCGCTGAAGCTTGCCTCAACGGACAGAGCACGTAAAAAAGACTTTGGCTAGCTCCCATCACATGGCTTGCGCCTTACACCGACTTCTTCAAGGACCCTCCGAACGTTGATGGCAACTTCAATAGGTACTATAGGCTCCGCTGGAAGCGCAACCTCGTCCTCCGCAATTGCCTCTGGCCCTTCCAAGGCGAAGGCGTTAAGAAAGGTATCTCATCCATGCTGGGTTTTTGCAAAGGTACAGGAGGGAGACAGAGGTGAAAAAGAGGAGACAAGAGGGAGCAAAGAGAAATATTTTCTTGGTGGTAGCTTTTTTGTGGCGTACAGTAGTACTTAATGCTATAAACAAAAGCTCACGCCGCTAGACTATCGCACAAAATAAAGTTATTTTTTCAGGCACACTGGAAAAACAACGGGTTACACAAATTTCTCGTAACTACTACGACTCTTATAGTTGCTTTGAAGTGTCTCTCACTAATACCCATGCGATGGGCTCTTTTTGTCGTCCTGTGCACATACGCTTCTTTGGTCAGAACCTTCCTTTTCACGCTTTTGCTTCTTCCGGTTACACCAAACTCTCCCATATCCCCCTTAACACCTGGAATGCGTGCATGAAAAAGCGCGCTAACATCTGCAATGCATATAAGGCGAGAATAGATAGATAGACTACATGGCGCAAGATCGATAAAAGATGACAGACATGGGGGAATACTAATATATATATATATATATATATTACAAAGGTAAATAAAATGCTGAAGGACGTAAACCAGTACGAGCGCAGATCATGGGAGAGGATTGAGGGGATTGCCATCTCAGGCATTGACTTCGTCTATAACGCTTTCTACGAAGACGGGGTGGAGCTGCTTTGATACATAGGTCCTATAATAATAAAAAGCCAATGCACGGATCATCGTTAGTCTTCAAGCTGTTCCATGCCTTTATGCCATAGATAATCGTCAGCTATGATAAAATAAAAAAAATAAAAAAAAACGACACATCGTTCCACTTACGAGAATGTGCTTTTGGGTGTTCCAAAGAAATAGCGCCCCTTGGCTGAGACAACTGCATCGACCATTGGGATCAAGTCCTTGCTCAATCCCACCCCATCCACGTTCTTCATTTCCTTGAGCTCGACCAAGTGCTCCGAAAAGTCGTCCAGAGTAAAGATGCAAGGAAAATGGTCGAACAACTTGCGGAACAAGATGTTGCGTCGCGGATACACTCCGTCTGTCGCGATGTAGATGATCATGTACTTTCCATCTTTGGCTTTGCGTGCTTGACACTCTCCAAAGGTCAATCGCTCGGGTGCTGGTCGTGTTGTGAGCGTTTCCTCCTCATTATTGTTGTGATCATGGTCATGGTGGTTGTTCTCATCCTGGCCCGCAGGAGCCGGGGTCGGCAAAACCTGGTAGTTGGGAATAGGCGTGATTCCTGTGATGTTGACAAGGCTCTTGAACATATTCTCGATATTCACTGGTGCGGGCTCAACGAACATGCCATCCCCAACTCTGAGATGTAAGCCCACAAACGTTCCTAGTCCTCCCAACTTGCTTACAATGGCATCAGAGGTCTTTGCCAGGATTGGTGTCGAGAGAATCATGGTTCGCCTCAAGAAGATCTGGTAGGCTTTGTTCTCTGGGAGCTCCGCAAGGACTCTTCCTGTCGCAAAGAGGGATCCCATATGGACCACTCGCTCCTTTCGGTCTGCTAGCTCCTTGACGTCCAACCGCCGGAGGTATCGAGCGGTGTTGAGCGGCGTAGCACTGTTGAGATCATCGTAGATCTGATAGTCGTAATGCGCTCTATCATCAATAACGTATACATCCTTGGTACGGTCAATCCCGAGATGAGCCTCCATCCAGGCCCAAGAGTGATCGCTTCTGCGAATCCAGGGCTGCTTCTTTCGGATCTTCTCCATGTCGTAGAAGAAATCCCATTCGACTGCTGTCCAAGAATAATAGTTCAGACACTCGGCCGGTAGAGGGTCACCCTTAGGGACCATGCCACAGTGGTCCAATCCGCGCTTGGTCTGGAGCATGATCCGGCGCTGGAGGATATCGAAGAGACGCCATTCTGTGGCGGGACCCAAGAAAACGGGCGGTACGAGCAAGGTCCGATTGAGATACTTTGCGAGAAGCAGTGCGTTCTCGAGGGTGATACGCTGGTTATGGAATCCGCTGTGGGGGAGATAGGCAAGGTAGTTTTCATTGGGATTGTAAGTAGGACGGGGAACGAGGCCCTTGACTTGCTGGAAGGAGTTCTGATCGTTGACAATGTCGGTGTTGGTCAAGGAGGGCTTGTGCGAGATATTGCTGACATAGTAAAAGAAGAGGATGAGGATGAGGTTTAAGGAGAGGACGAAGGAGAGGATCAGATTTTTGGCCTGAATCAACATGGTGACATAGATCGAATTGCGTGCGGTAAGCACGAGAAGGGAGGCGAGGGCGAGAGAGAAGGATGGGAGTGAGAAAGTATGAAGGAAGACCGCGTTTGAAGAAAAGAGAGAGATGGTTCCTCATTCTTTCTGTGCTCGAGATGTGCACAAAAGGCTTAAAAATAGAGGAGATCCTCCATCGCATATTCTCATATTCTCATATTCGTGTGTAAACAATCAGTCGACACCATATCTCTCTAAAGCATTCAACAGCCCCATGATTGGCAGGCACACGCTTGATTGAATCAACTTATAAAAACGCGATAACAGGACACTTAACTTCTCTAAACTGGATTTGTTCCATTGTGGCATGTTCATGCTTTATCTTGTCCAATAGAGAGAGACGCAGCAACCACAGTACACTCCCGGATTGGCTAACAAAACGTCGCTTAATCCGAATTTTTGTATAACAAAACTTAAATTTTTTATTGTCGATCCTCTGACTCGCACTCGCTGTCAGACAGCTCAATGATATCAATAGTATCAATAGTATCTTGCCCATCCACTCCCTTGTTAAGTGCTATCAAGTCTGTAACACGGAGATCAAGAGACTATGCAGGCCTCTTTCCAAAGGGCATAGCGCGGCAACTGTCCAATCATGTATCCATTGCTTTTGGGATGGGCTTTGAGTCTTGCCTCCGTGTCCAAATCCAGGCTTTTAGAACGGTGAGCGGCTTATCGAAGCCTGCCAAAAAAAAAAAAAAAAAAAAAAAAGGGTGTTACAAGGACTGTACTTGGCTGCAAGTTGAGCAGATGAACGCACGCTTTCCAAAGCAAACTCGTCTTATATAGCATAAATGGCTTCTGCTTGTCCGACTCATCAGCAGCACAGCAGGATATATACTCCTGTCTGCCCTTGGTCGCCGCCGAGGACTTTGCCTTAGCTTCGGAAGAGGATGAAGATGTGGATGGAGAGATAGGGATGGGGGATGGGGAGAAAGACAAGGACAGGATAGCGCCCATATTTTTTGTATTTGCAGACGTTGACAGCGACAGAATGTCGCTTAACCCGGGCGTAACCCTGAATTTACAGTTTTTCGGCCGTATTCTCTAATGAAAGCACGGCCTAGAAACCTTAATTTGGAACCTCTCTGAAAGGGTTATTCAAAAGACGGAAAATACAATCACATATTCAGTCACATGTTGCGCCGCAGACCGTCCATGGATACGTCTCAACGCCATGATCACAACCCCCCCAAAAAGACATTATAATTCGCTCTCGACCCAAGCAAAAAACAAAAACCAACTCTTGTACACCTTCCTGCCAAGAATGACAAAAGATACATCAAACGTGAACTTGAGGATATCGAGCGCACTCTTCGACTGAGATATTAGGACGTGAATAAAGGTCTGCGGCGCAACATGTGACTGAATATGTGATTGTATTTCGCGTCTTTTGAATAACCCTTTCAGAGAGGTTCGATTCAATTCCCAAATTAAAGTTTTACAGCAGGTTCATATACGAAAACTGCTCTAAAACCAGTTTCCACTGTAGACAAGAGAGCACTCATCAACAGAGTCTGAGAATAGGGTTATGATGCTCTCATAGTCTCCACTTGTTGAAATTTTATCTGAGCACGTCTTGAAAATCGCCAAACAGACGATTCCCTGGGTGAAGAAAAAAAAAAGACCTGTCACTTCATATTTGTCGCGTGCATCCCGGGAAAACTGATGGAATGATGGCAGAAAACGAGAGCAATTTCAATTTGCTTCCCCCAATGGCATTGGTCGCTCGAGTCAAACGTAGATTACCGATTGTCCACAACTGTCCCAGGGTGGTCAACTCAATTCAGCTAAATTGTAAATTGACAAATTTTCTTATGTGTTGCTCTGTTTGCAGTTATGAAGGCTGGCGTTATTAAATTTTTATCGTGGAAATAGATATTTGAGAGTGCCAATAATTAATAATAATTATCGACAGCAACGATCTCACAGAGAGCACAACCAACCATGGCATCCTCAAACTTCATGGGCCCACGGCACCATCGCCTCTACCGCGGACATCGCGCCAAGTCCCTCAACATCACTGAAGAAGAACTGGTCGAGATCCGAGGTGCGTCGTACTAAACTATATATACTCATCTCGTCCATGACAATGACCCTCCTCTCCCCCATTGCACACCTGTACACTCTTCTCATATCCACTCTGTCTACGCCTTCGATTGGTCTATTTACACTTCTTTGTCCGAACCCGCTGTAGCAAGAGAGAGAACTTTTGATGGCGCATACTGGCGTACTGCCTTAAAGGCCTTTTCTATGGGCATGATCATCATCCGCCTCTTCACCAACACCTTTTACAAGATTGGTATCATCTTTGTGGTCTTTGGGATGGCTCTGCTCGGAATCTCAATCCTTCGGAGAAAGGCAGCAGGCGACGTCTTCGACCAACGCAAACCTTTCGAGACATCCGGCTTCTGGGTCATGATCACAACCTTTGTCACCACCGTAACCTATCTTATCATGTTTGTCATGATCATGAAGCTCTAGTTTTCGTTTCGTGAAAGGAGCCGTAGCAGCATCTAATGCCGCTATAGTAATATCACGGCGCCGGTCGCTACTATCATAACAGTCTATGATCTGGAATGCAAGCTGCGTCCCAATGAGCGCTCACAACAATCGGCTTTGATTTCATGTCTGTTTCGCAAATGAAGGACATTGGCCTATGGCCTCATGAATCTTCATGGACACCATAGTAACCGTCCCTAGCGACGTTCAGTAAACAACTTCGTCTGAGATGGCCACATCGAACGACTTAAAAATACTGGTGCTCTTTGAATCCGGGCAGTGCTTTACATAGTATCACATTGTGTTTAGGATAATTATAACCCTTCTCTGCAACGCGCTCAGTTCAAGCCGCTTCCTTAAGAACATGCGGACCAAATTTTTGCCTCAACACTCTAAATGGTACGCACCACGAGAATATACAAACCATGATACTATGATACTACTATATGCAAGGGAAGACAAACATGCGAGATGCGTTTTATGTCACCTAAATCATTAACTTTCCAAGCGCCATGAAAACGCTGACCATACCCGACTAAACAAGGCCCAACCCAATAGCAAGTTCACTGATAAACTTATGGTACTATACCGCAAAGTCGCCTCCATGATTATGATGAATCGACTGGGGTTCTTGATTTCGATCTTTTGCTTGACAACTTATCAATTGCATCCTACTGTTGTCCGCTTCAAGTGCGTTCGGAGACGTGGACGCTGCTAGACCGCATTGTTCTCGCCTCATAATGAGCGGATGCAATGGCTGCACTACATTTTGTAACGCTCAAATGGATCTCCGTTGGCGTTAAAAAGGAAGTAGGGATCAAACCAGCAACGATGACCACGATGGCGACGAAGGCAACGATGGCGAAAACAGGTGCTGATAAGGTCCCCGAGACTCTCGAGCGGGACTTGACCAGGCCTCTTTGCTCTGTTTGTGCTCTACATCAGCACAGCATCATGTTGTTCCAGCAAGTGTGGGTCGGTAGTGCTGAGTAAAATGCGTCGAATGCCATTCACAAGAAGCAAGTCCGGGGCTTTTTATCTAACCAGCGCGCGCATCCAAAAGAAATATCATAAAATAGAATAATGGAGTAATAGAATAATAGAATGATATAATAATAAAATAAAATAAAAAGTACAATGCGCATAGAGCCGAGCGTGCCCGTATGTCTATAAGCAGTGCCTAGTAACACTTTCGCAGACCAAGGGTCCAGGAAAGGACCCTGGCATTGACACAGGTGGTCCGAATCGATAGCTAACTCTGCTCTGGACTAGTTCTCCTTCTCGGTCATCGTCCCTTTCCGCAAGAGGGCCCGGATTTTTAAAATTGTTTATTAACAAGGATGGGTTGTAGTCCACAGAGGCTGTGCCTCATAACGTCTCCTACAAGCAGCTACCTAAGGTCTTCTCTCACTCATGGGGATTTATGTTAATAAAAAATAAAAAAAAAAAAAAAAAAAACCTAAGGTCTTCTCTCATTTGACAGTAGTGTCGCATCTCATATTCCAGATTTTGTCTTCTCAACTTCCTCCACCGCCTCGACGAACTTTTCCACCATAATTACTGGAATTGTTCCCGTAGTCTTGAGAAGCTTTTTTTTTTTTTTTTTTAATAACATAAATCCACATGAGCACGAGACACATGGTCCGCAAAGGCCTTGAAGTCATAGATGCCTTCCATGCACGGCAGAGCCGCATCCCCTACCAACTATGTTGGCTTGAGGCGTCAAATTCATAACCCATGTCGCATAGCTAGCCTAACCTAACTCCTGCGTGACCTGTTGCGCGATACACGTCTCCTAATCCAGATCCAATGTTAATAAAGTTGTTTTTAAACCGAATAACCCCTCCATTATGTCCAACTTCCCTCGCCCCAAGCAATGCTGTAGCACCCTATAATCCGCGGTCCGTCTACCTTCCTGGATCTCCGTTGCAAGTAACCGTCTCCCTTTCAAATCAGAGAAATCACCAACACTACGTTGGTGTCCCCGATCACCGTTGCGTCCTCCGGCGCGTTTGCTCATGAAGGTGATTCCAACTGACTTTTCCCAGGCGACAGTGTCCTCGCATCGTTTGTTCCATATCTTGGTCCTGCCAAATTCTTCGATCCTGCTCACGAACTTTGTCACCATGATCGTCGCAATCCACTTAGTGGTGGTAAATAGCTGCTTCCAGGTCTCAATGAGTCCCGTTGGCACCAAACCTCGGTATAAGTCCTTGACCTCCCAATCTGCCTCACCCTCCGGCTCCTCTCCTTC